GACAGTTAAGATCCAAATCATAGTTGGGTATTAATCCTAACTACTCATGAGGATGAAATCTGAGAACCAAGATTTGAAGCCAGTCTAGGGAGAAAGGTTTTATTTATTTATTTATTTATTTTTCTTTTTGTTCGGTCGTGGGCCCTGAACTCTGGACCTGGGCACTGTCCCTCAGCTGTAGACTACCACTTGAGCCTCAGTCCCACTTCCGGCTTTTTCTACTAATGTGGTGCTGAGGAAGCGAACACAGGGCCCCATGCATGTAAGGCAAACACTCTACCACTGAGCCACCTTCCCAGCACCCAGAAAGGTTTTTGAGATACTTACCTCCAACTAGTCAGCAAAAAAGCTGGAAGTGAAGCTGTGGGTCAGGTGGTAGATCTCCAGCCTTGAGCAAAAGAGCCAAGCCAGGGCCTATGTTCGAGCCCCAGAACCAGCACTCATGCACACAAAAGATTGAAATCATGAGTTGGAAATATGGCTCAATGGTAGAGTGCTTGCTTAGCATGCATGAAGCCCTGGGTTCGATTCCTCTGTATCACATAAACAAAAAGCCAGAAGTGGTGCCATGGCTCAAGTGGTAGAGTGCTAGCCTTGAGCTGAAGAACTCAGGGACCATTGCCTAGACCCAGAGTTCAAGCCCCAGGACTGGGAAAAAAAAATCCAAATCTAATAATATAGCAAACATGATCCTTGAATTCAATCCCTAGCACCACAGCAAAAATAAAAAGGAATTATCAGTTAGCTCTCAGTATAGACTTAGGTACCTGCTCTATTTTTTCTGTAGTGACTGTCTTGTGCTGACTGTTTAGGAAACATGACAGTGACATGGAACAAGGTCTGTGAAGCCCAAGACCGGGCACTGGACTTCTCTGTGCTTGCTGGGGCCGCAAGAGGAGGGTCCAAGGAAAATGGGGTTTCTTTTTTTTTGGGGGGGTCCGGTCGTGGGGTCTGAACTCTGGGCCTGGGCGCTGTCCCTTAGCTCTTGAGCTCAAGGCTAGCGCTCTACCACTTGAGCCACAGCACCACTTCCGGCTTTTTTCTTTTTGCTTATGTGGTGCTGAGGAATCGAACCCAGGGCCTCAG